TTTATGAGTTTGTTTCTGTTTTGTTTTGTTTTTTGTTGTTGTTGTTCTTTAGATTTCACATATAAGCAAATTCACATTGCATCTCACTTTTGCTGTTTGACATACTTCACTTGGCACAATACCTTTTAAGCCCATACATGCTGTCGTGGATGGCAAGAGCCCATTCCCTTCCATGGCTGAACAATGTTCCATTGTGTATATGTACCACATACCCTTTATCCATTCATCCATTCAGGGACACCCAGGCTGTCTCCACACCTTGGCCATTGTAAACAATGCTGCAATGAGCATATAGATGCACATGTCCCCTCGTTGTAGTGATTTAAGTTTCTTGGGATAATTACTCAGAAGTAGAATGATTGGGTCCTTCTTTGTCACTGGTTATACCCTTTGTTTTAAAGTCTATTTTGTCTGTTATAAGTATTGCTCCCACAGCTTTTTTTTTCTTTCTATTTTCATGAAACATCTTTCCCATGATATACTTTCATTCTCTTTTGACCTGATGTGAGTCTCTTGTAGACAGTATACATGTATAAGAATCTTATATTCTTATTCATTCAGCCACCCTATGTCTTTTGATTGGAGCATATAATCCATTTACATTTAAAGTACTGATTGACAGATATGTAGTTATTACCTTTTTATTATTCATATTTTTGATCTTTATTTTTTCCCCCCTTCTTAAAGAAGTCCCTCTAAAATTTGGTGTAATACTGGTTTGGTGGTGAGGAATTCCTTTAGCGTTGTCTTGTCTGGGAAGCTCTTTATTGGGCCTTTGATTCTAAATGACAGCCTTGCTGGGTAGAGTAGTCTTATTTGTGTGTCTTTGCTTTTCATCACTGAATATTTCCCGCCAATCCTTTCTGGCCTGCAAAGTTTCATTTGGAAATCAGCTGACAGTCTTATGGGGGTTCCCTTGCAGGTAACTAACTGCTTTTTTTCTTGCTGCTCTTAAGAGTTTCTCTTTGTCTTTAACCTTTAGCATTTTAATTATGATGTGTCTTGGTGTTGGCCTCTTTGGGTTCATCTTGTTTGGGACTCTCTGTGCTTCCTGGGCTTGTATAGCTCTTTCCTTTATCAAGTTAGGAAAGTGTTCAGTCATTATTTCTTCAAATAGGTTCTCAATTTCTTGCTCTCTCTCTCCTTGTGGTACCCCTCTGATGTGACTGTTGGTACACTTGATGTTGTCCCAGAGACCCCTTAAACTCTCCTCGTTTTTATGGATTCTTTGTTCTTTTTGCTGTTCTGGTTGGATGTTTTCTGCTACCTTATCTTCTAAATTGCTGATTCAGTCCTTTGCTTCATCTAATCTACTGTTGATTCCCTCTAATGTACTCTTCATTTCAATTATTGTATTCTTTATTTTTGACGGGTTCCTTTGTATATTTTCTATCTTCATTTTTATGTTTTCTATCGCTTTGTTGAAGTTCTCCTTCAGATCACTGAGCATCCTTATAACTAGTGTTTTGAACTGTGTCTGGTAGATTGCTTGTCTCCATTTTGTTTAGTTCTTTCTCTGGAGCTCTGCTCTATTCTTTTATTTGAGAAATGTTTCTTTGTCTCCCCATTTGGCTGCCTCCCTGTGTTTGTTTTTTGTAGGGCTGTCTCCTGGTCTTAGTAGAGTGGCCTTATGTAGTAGGTGTGCTGTGAGAACCAGTGGTGCAGTCTCCCTTGTCACCAGAGCTGGGTGCTCTAGGTGTGTCCCTTGTGTGGGTTGTGGATGCCTCCTGTTGTAGTTTAGCCTTGGTTGCTCTTTGCACATCAAGGGAAAGATTGACCCTCAGGCTGATTGGTATGAGGACTAGCTGTGACTACAGTGGAGCTGTCATGTAAGGGCTGACCCTACAGAGCAGAGTTGGTTTTAGTGGAGCTCTAGTGCCTGTCCTTTGGGATGTGGTACTTGAAGGTGGCTGGGTGATGCTCTGGCCCAGCCTATAACTGGCCTCTCGGCTTGCCATCCCCGGGGCCTCCTAAGAGGGGACCTGCTGTAGGCCAAGTTTAGCTGTAGTCTGTAACCTGCCCGGGGCCACCTAGCATGAGCTACAGAGTAACTTAGAGATGGCCACCACCCACACTGTGCTTGGAGGTGCCTTGAGAGGCCCAGACATGAAGCAAGGCTGTCTGCTGCTAATGCTGGGTTTAGGTATGAGACACACTCAAGCCAGATGCTGCTTTTTGTGTTTTGTGAACCTTTGAGAAATTTTAGGAATGTCTGCAACATGAGCCAAGGCAGGCCATTTATACGGAAAAGCCATTGGAAGCAGCTTGGGTGTGCCCAAAAGTTGGGTGGGGCATGGTCTCAGAGAATCACTAGGGTGGGGCTGAGGAAAGGTGACAGCCAACTTGATGAGGACTCATACATGATGTCTGCCTGCGTCTGCACGCACGGAGGGGGAGGGCTCACTAAAGAAACAATGACTTCTGTCAGCTCCTCCATGAAAAAGAAAGCTGCCCCACCAGCACTCACCCTGAAACTAAACAATTCAGTTCTTTCCTGTGTGTCCCTGGCACCTTTCAAGCTGCTGCCCCAACTCTGGAGCTGAGAGCCAGTGAGTCCATCAGTGAATAAGTTTGTGTGTCGGCTTTTTAAGAGCAGCACCTGAAAGTGCAGCTGCCCTGCGTCTCACTCAGCCACCATCTCTGCTGGTTTTCACAGCAAGAAGTAATGGGGCTTTCTCTCCCCTGCACTGAAATTCTGAGCTGGGGAGAGGCTGGGACCCCTCACTCCTTAGGGGGTACCTCTGCAGCCAAGATATCCCTCCTGATTTTTAATGGTCATACACAGGCAGCCCTACATAGAAAAATGCATTGGGGACCTAAGGAATAAAATACCTATCAGGCATTTGAGAAAAATAATATCCTCAACATTTGCTTCAAGATTTAGGGAGTAGATTCAGTTGGCTAGAAATGGTATTCAACCAGGGAATCTCCTTTGGTAAAGAAACTAGATAAACTAAACTTTAGTAGTGTGAATTTTTCCCCCCAATGTGATCTGAATTCAGCTCATAGCCTTCTACTTAACTTGAGGTTCTGAGTAATTCCATTCATCATTTAACAAAGTAAAGAAAACAGAAACTTAGATCACTAGAACAAATATGCGTTGTCTAATATCCCTGGAGGAATTTAACTAAACCCACAACAATCAAATTGACTTCTGAGAGAAAAAAAAAAACTAAAAACTCAGAACAATAAAATATTGGCAGCTTACAAACATGCCATTCAAGTTTACGGAAATAATTCAGCCAAAATCACTCAAGGAACAAAAACAAAGCCAATTCACTACGTTTGAATGTCAGAGGGATTTTCAGGTAATAGCTTGTAAAACAAAGGGCACCTTTAGAGTTCCAATGTAAATTTCGACAACCTAAATCTTTCCTTTAGAGAGTAACAATTCTCAGGAATTCCAAACAAATACACTTCTAATAAAATTATAATCCTCTTTCCTGTAAATGAGTTCTGCTATTTCTGTCATTTTTAATTTTATCTGTTATGTCTTTGTTTTCTTACTTCAAAAATCTGTTTCAAGTCCTCTTGTGAGAACAGATGGAATGTAAATTGTAAACATCTTATTAGAAAAATAATTAATATTTTGAGTATTTACTATGTGTTGGCTGCTTTATCTCTTAATCCTCATAACTGCCCTGAAAACTATCCTAAGTTTATAAACTGAGGCTTGGAATCATTATGAGATTTTTCAAATTCACACAGATTATAAGTGATGGAGCTAAAACTCTCACTTATATCCATTTGAGTCTAAGCATAAACTCTTTATTCTAAACAAAATTGCTTTCATTATAAAATTCTATTCGTATAATATTACATTGATATAATTACAAAATGTCATATGTGATACATAACATGCATTCATAAAGCAAAATGGTCTCTGATTTCAATAGCATTCTCTGACATTATTTGAACATAAAAGATTTTTCTGTAAGTCAGTGTTAACGTCATGTGTCATGCTCGAGTATAACAAGCCTGATTTGTTTGGGGGCCCCCCTAGCACAACAGAAACTTGTCCTTAACTAATAATTTCCCTCCTAGGGCTAATTGTCACTGTCACCATGGAGGCAGGCAGCCATGTGGCTCTTTCTTTCACTTTTTCTTGTGGTCCTTCTTCCTACTGCATCCACTGCCTCATAATGATGCAGTCAGTCTTATTAAAGAACATAAATAGTTGATTATAGTTGTAGAGAATTTCTGATGCAAAATGGATATTGCACTTTATGCTGCAGAAGCACCAGTTTGTTTGTTTTAGTAATTCTATGTATTTTGGCCTCTAGGCCTTTTTTTCATGAGATGCTCACTGCCTGGAATCCATTTTCTTCCCCTCCCTTCTTTGCCTGGCAAGCTCCTTTTAGGCCTTTAAATGCATGTTGCAATAAATCTCCTCCAAGATTATTTCTGTGTGTATTATTTCCCATCACACTGCATTACAATGTTCTGTCTGTAAGCTTGTTTTAGCCACTATGTTGGGAAACTCTTGAAAGCAGGGTTGGAGTTTAATGGTTCTTCTTCAGTGCCTGGTGCATAATAAGTGCTCACTAAAGCTTTTTTTTTAAATAACATAATGACTTAATAGTTCCTCCAGGAAAATCTAAGAATATTTTATAGTGTAAATTAGAAAGAATTTTCCAGGGAAAGAATTTCATATATTTTGAAATAAATTCCTAAAGAGCTTATCGAGACTGTAAAAGACTATGACTCCACAGTTACTATTGTTTGGGGAAGTATCTAACAGAGGAGAACACAGCTTAGATTGAACAAGCACCATTCTGTAAAGGCATTTTTGAAAGCCTTAGTATTTAGAAACAATCGAATTACATTAATAACCACTTATATTTTAAGCTTCAGCCATTTGATTAACTCTTTCCTAAACCTAGGCTCTCCTAGATTTTAAAAACTACAGAAACCGTCCTACCTTAGAAATATTTTTCAAGCACACCTCTCAAGCAAGACTCGGGAATGAATCTTTCCAAGTGTACATCCCTCTGACTTACAGAGAAGGTGGAAACAGGGTGGAAACTTCACTCCTCTGTCTCTTCTCAGCTGCAGTCATGGATTCTCTCATAGGAGATGACACTTGGTTTGCCTTACATAGCCTGAGAGGAATATTAAGCACCTTAAATCTAGAGCCTGAGTGGAATTCCAGCTCTGCTTCCTAGGAGCTGAATGGCCTCAACCCCTGTTTGCCTCAGTTTTCAAACTATAAAATGAAAATTATACTTACACCCTAAGAATCTTGTGAAGATTAAATGACTTAATATATCAAAGCTGTTTGGGATTGTTCCAGGCACATAGCAAGCCCTGCATTTTCTTTGCTCACTAAAAAAGGAACTTGCATGTTGCATTACGTTTCTATCAAATCTTTGTGCGCATGAGGAAAAGCTTTAATAATAACACAGATTGGTATTTTTCTAGGTATACGGCCTACATGTTATGAAACAATATGCTTTGCTTTTACGCATACTTGAACATGTCCATGCCTCAACCTATCGTCTCTGAACAACTAGAAGAAAATCCTGTAATGAATAGAGACCAACCTCTCCTTGGCATTAGGATCTAGGCCTGGGCGTCTTCCCTTCTTACCACCAAATGTCTGCAACTCCGATTGCTTCGCTTGCTAATCCACAATTCACCAGAGCGAAGTAATTTTGATGAATTCTAAAAATGGAAAACTTTCAGTATAAGCAGGCAGGTCTGCTGACATTTGATAATATCTAGTTGTCAGTGAGATTTTATAAGGTGCATATGCCCACGTTGATTCCTGGATTAAAAAGAAACACACAGCAGGAGCTCCTGAAATGAAAATGAAGGATAAGACATTTTGCAAGCATTTCATATGGAATCATATGCTAGTTAATGTTTACCGTTCATGGCCCGGATGGTTTTGGTTAATTAAATAAATCACTTGGGATAAGGAAGCACTCGGAAATGATTGTGGGTTTTTATACAGTTCATAATGAGCCCAGAGACTTGAGGGAGCCTTTCAAGGTTCTGTAAAACTGAATAAATTTTCCCTTTGGCCTATTATTTACTTAACTGCAGGTCATTTATTTTGGCAGGAGAAAATGTACCTGTTTAAAATCAAAAGGCCTATGAATTTTAACCTTTTATTGCCCTATTATATCATTCGAGAATTTTTAGTTAAATGAAAAAAAAAAAGGTTTATTTTTCTCTATATTAGGATTTTTCTTGGCTTCTGTGATTTTAGTTTCCATAATTTAAGTGCATATTGAAAATAAATTGCTTGATTTGATTGCATGTAGATTTTTCATTAACGAAGTCCAGTAGATATATTTAACATTGTGTATACATCTATGAAATGTCTCTGAAGATAGCTGGATCTGTGTATGTATCCACTTAAAAATCTCACCTAATGACATTTTCTTATTGCATAATAATATGAATTTACACTTCAGGTTATGAATTATGCATGTTGGGGACAGATCTAGCTCTTTTGGTTGTGGATATTAAATTTGTTAATGCTGTATTTTCAATACCTACTTCTGCATTGTATGCGCAGGACAGAGCCCAGCCATACCACCTCCATTACCAACTGAACAAGCTTCCAGACCCAAGCCAGCCTCACTTATTCTTGAAGGCAAGTATTTTATTTTAGTTTTTTCCAATGATCTTCTGTATTAAAGATAAAATAGAATGCAAATAAACAAAACAATAGCAGCAACCAAATGCATATTTTCTCACGTTGTTTTATTATGTCTACATACTAAATAGCTACAGTATACTTTTCCTGAAATAACAGTTTGTTCCTTTTTAGAAAACCCAAAATTTCCTCTTAAGATTCTATTGGATTGTCGGAAAAGCCATGACGTATTTGTTCTATGTTTTTCATTGCACAAATGCGTCATGACTTTCTAACAACCCAATATGTTGGTGTCCATCAGCTTCCAGAATGGTGACAGCTTTGTACCCTGGAAATCAACCAGAAAGTAGACAAATGGACAAGGATATGCCTTGCGATTATTACAGTTTCACTCCAACTCCATCAACTTAGTGTCTTAAGACTTTGGTGTCAGAGTTTCTGAGTTTGAATATGAGCCCTACCTCTTACTAGGTGTGTGCATTTGGGAAGTTACTTAAATTCACTGTTCATGTGTTTTGTCATCCCAAGATGGACCAAGAATAGTACTCATCTCACAGATTTACTGTGAGGATGAATTGGTGTGTGTGTGTGTGTGTGTGTGTGTGTGTGTGTGTGTGTGTGTGTGTGTGTATGCCTACTTATAAGTGCTTTATAAAATTAATAACACTACTATGAATAAATAATTATTCAAAATATGATGGTCAAGATTAGCAATTTTAAAGGATGAAAATATTATTAGAATCAAATTTGCTAGAAATTTAACATCATTTCATGAAGCCTTCATTCATTTCTTCAATTATTATTTATTAAATCCCAGTCATGGGATCATGTCCAATATTGTCCAAAGTACCAGGGATTCAGAGATTAATAGAAAATAGTTCCTGCCCACTAAGACTTAGTTTATAGATATACAATTAAAAGTATTAAAGAAGAGCCTGATATAAAATACAAGTAATTAAAGCCAATTGCACCACTGATTTTTTGCAAGAGTACAAACAGAGGTCTTCCCCAGATTGCCCCAGCACCCATTCCACCCTAGCTCTGTATCACACTGAAAGGGACCTTCTATATACACATGTGGATACCAGCCATCTTGTTCAAGTTCTGTCCACTCTGTTCAACTGCTACCTATCGGCTTTGACCACCACGTGAGACTAAGGGTGATCACTCTTATGAGGATTCGTTCAGGAAGAGGTCAATGCTGTTATTGGCATCAGAGTAAGGGTTGTTTGGGAGGAAAAGAATCAAGGTCCCAAGATCTGGAGTGTAAGAGAGAAGAGACTTGAGGTGGCCACATCCTGTCTTCCCCCACTGACTCCTAGAACCAGGGCAGGGTATAGCTGGAGATGGGCCCAGACGAGCCCTGGAAAGCACGGAGCCTCCAAGAGGGGCCCTGGTTGCTGGGTTCTAAGAGGTGTGCTGATTATCACAATGTGAGAAGAACCAAAAAATAAGTCAGCACAAAGTACTGGGAAAGCTTAAAGAAGAAAGGGGATAGCTCTGTCTGGAAGAGGCGAGGAGGACCACAGAAATGGCAGACGTAGCTGTAGAGCTGAATTCTAAGAAGAGGTTTTCATCATGCAGGCAAAGAAGGCAAGAGCATTACCATTAAAAGGACTGGCATGTGCAAAGGCATGGAGATGAGAAAGAAGCAAGTCTGGTCCAGAGAAGAATAAGATGTTCATCATGGAGAGAAGGAAGGAGGTGTGGAGAGAGTTTGGGAGAGATGATAAAAAGACATGCAAGGGAAGATGATGCTACGCCTTGTATAGGCAACCTTGGGATTTATTTTTATCTTCAAAGTTTTACTTTAAAACATTGATTAGTAAAATAAATCCCCAATATACTCAGGCTGCTGATACATTTATCAACATTTTCTATTCTTATGTATCTAACTCGTCTTTCCTTTTTCCCTTCTTTTTTTTTTCTGAATGAATTTTTGTTTGTTTTGCAAATCTTTGACATCATGCTGTTTCACTCACTGAGGAATTTTTATTTTATTTAAAATTTGATACATTTACATGGTTCAAAATTTAAAAGTTACAAAAACTATTTAGGATGAAAGTTTTTCTCCTGACCCTATCCACCAACTACTGAGTTCTCCTTACAGGCAGTCAGTATTAGTTCCTTCCAGAAATATTTTGTGCATATACAAACACAAATATTTCCCCCTCAGCCAAGGGATTTTTATTTTTTATCTATAGAAGATGAGCAGTTTCTCATGGATGAAATAAGACACGCTCATTTAGAAAGGACATCTTGGCTCTCATTCACAGGGTAGACCTGTGGTGTGAATCTGGTTGTAGGCTCTTGGGAAAAGAGTAGTCAAAACAAGTCATAAAGCCTGAATTTAACAGTAGTGTAGTGGATGGAGAAAAGGAAATAGATCAGAAAGAGATCTCAGAAGAGTCTCAATGGGTTTAGGTATCAGATTGGATATAGGTGCTCAGGTAGAAGAAGGAACTGGAGTGACTGAAGGCTTTCTGAATTAGGTATCCAGGTAGGCAGTTAGTGCCATTAACTAAGATGGGAATCCATTGAAATAAAATCGGCCCAATGAGAAGAAGGAAGATGATGGTTTCAGTCTGGGACATGAGAGTTTCCCATGGGACATTGAAATAGAATTACTTTGGTTACACATTTGTGTTTCACACACTTAATAGCCAGTGGAGGATTTGAGTAGTTGAACAGGTGAAGTTTTCCTAAGGTTACAGTCTGACTCCAACTTGTTCTATGCACTTGTCTGGCCAGATTCTGGCCAAGTCATGCCTACAACTATGTTCTCATCAACTCACATTTATTTAGGATATTATGTTTGCTATAGCCATGTGCATTTCACATTTGATATTCCAAAACCCTGTGAAGCAGAGAGTATTATTAATGATTAATAAATATAGGCCTGGGGTTTACTTATTTATGCTAAATTCATAAATGGCAGGACTGGGATCCCAGCCCTGGATTTCTAGTGGCATGCCCAGGGAACTTTCTGGTATATTACTATGCAGCATTGAAGTTTGAGGATAACATGTTTGTGTCTTCTGCGGTGTCAGCTAGTTTTGGAAAATGGGAACAAAGTTTTTTGCTTTCTATGTCATGCGGTTCTGTGATAGAAACATCATGATGTCAGTGAAGAGAACCCCAGCAATGCTTCTCAAGATTTCCTGTGCATACAAATTACCTGGGGATATTGTGAAAATGCAGATTCTGATTCGGTAGGTCTAGGGTGGGGGCTGAGATTCTGCATTTTTACCAAGCTCCTAAGTATTGCTGATGCTGCTGGAATAGGACCACATCTGAGTAGCAAACCTCTAGATGATTTAGGAGGGAGATGGAGAGTGACTGAATATTTCTAAAACTGATTTTAATTTAGTATTAGTCACCTGAATGACCTGTAATTGGCCAAGTGTCCTTCGGAATTACAGGAATGCAACTTGTAGAGAAATTTTGGCTGATAGTTGTCTGGGAAAAAGCCAAAGGTTTCAGGCTAAGTACCTAAGCATTCTAAAAAGGCTCACAAGAGAGCAAGAGAAATGCCATTGGGAATGGGGGAAAGGTTACATTATACTTGTAAATTATA